TTTTTTCCCATACACTTCACTGAGCCTTATTTTTGTGGTTTTACGTTTTTACAGTTTTTTTACTTTTATGGTTAAATTTCCAATTGTTATACATATATTGCCAAAAGTTGTGTCATCTTATTAATTGCTTCCTATTTCTGGAGCACATTAGAATATGCAATGTCATCCATTCAGATCTAATACTGCTTTAAATCTTCTCAAAAAATTTGCCAGTGAATTTCATATAACTCTGTCTGTGCTCTTTCAAACGTCATTTGACATTGAGGTACTTCCTATGGATTAGAAGTTGTCGCATATAACTCCACCATACAAAGGCGTTAGCAGGGCGTTAGCAGGGCGTTGGCGACAAATCATAGGTCCTTAAGCTTGACATTTGTTCTCTGCAAAGTTATGGAGAAGATCTTGAAGATAGAATTGGTGCGGTCTCTGGAATTTCGCAACTTACTATCCAACTGCCAGCACGGATTCCTGAGAGGACGATCTTGTATGACAAATTTGTCGCAATCTCCTCGGAGCTAGACTCGAGCTCTTGAGGACAAGCATACGCTCCACATCCCTTATATTGACTTCCAGCGGTCGTTTGACACTGTGCCACACCATAGACTGCTACACAAGCTTGAAAAAATAGGGATCAAAGGTAATCACCGCAAATGGACCGAAAGCTTCCTTGTGGGTCTGCACCAGGTTGTGTACATTGGTCGAAAAAAATCAGATGCTACTGTGGTCGAGAGTGGTTTTGCCCAGGGTTAATTATTCGGCGATTGCGCAAGAGCTTTGGACTGCGAAGCGACAATGTTCGCTTATGACATGAAAATAGGGAATGTAATCCCGGGCCTTACCAACAAACACAGACAGTGAATGACCTTACATCGGTTGGAGGAGTGGCCAAACCGTTGATGCATGCGGTCAAATGTCGACAAGTGTACTACACTTTGGCTAGGCAGTTCGGCCAAGCCCTACAGTACAAGAGGCTACTTTCTTGACGGTAAAACTGTGTGAGACGTCGAGGTCCAAAAGGGCTTACGACAAATTACCTAAATCCATTCGTTAATTATTCGAGAGGGGCAAAGAGAGCAATGTACGCACTGTACGCCATCGAGGGTGCATTTATGGATTTTGATGAAAACGTCTTCTCAAAGACTTTCAGAACATTCGTGCAGCCGCACTTGGAATACGGCATGCAAGCCTGGAGAACATGGGCGGTTCAAGATCACAATATTCTCGAAGGAGTCGAGCGAAGAGCCAAGAAAATGCTTTCGGATGCAAGCTCTGTTGGATTGCAGTCTGGCCATTGAGGACTTTTTGACTTTGCTATCACGACTAACCTCCGAGGTCACCCGTCAAAACTACGCGCTCAACAGGCAGTACTGGATGTGCGGAAGTTCTTCTTCTCTGTCACAGTGGTCAAACCACGAAATGCCCATCCTGCACATGTTTTGATGTCATAATCAGTACAAAGCTTTGAAAAGAATGTTGGCACTTTTATGCTGCATAATCAGCAAGAGAGTTGAGAGAGCGAGCTTAACCCCTGAGACTCATCCTCAATTTGTCATACTATTATGGGTCCATTTGGATGATATTGGTCTTCAAATTTTTTTCAGCAAACCAATCCAAGTAACCTTGCAAATAAAGTACTCAAAGGCTCCTGTCCATTTCTTCCGATATACTGAACTGAACTGTCTTTGGTCAGGAAACTGATCGCGTTGAGTGATTCTTCCCACCTCAATGCACCTAAATTTCAATTAAGCATCTGGATATTTGTCATGAATATAGCTTTTTGATTGGCTACCTACAGTGGGTGAAGATAAAATTTGATGGAACGCACAACCCAAAAACCAAAAATAGCGAACGAACAAAACCATTGCTAGTTAAAACAAACAAAAGCCGAAGCTCAGTATGCCAAAAAACAAATTAGTGTAACAATTAAAATAAAAATGGAATAGGTAATTACGTTTCATTACCGACATTTCCAAATGACTATTGTCAATTTCGACAGTTTGTCGTTTGGTTCACTAGTTAAGCAGGTCAAATGACAGGCATATACTGCTTTATCTAACCAGCTGAAGTTGCTGGATAGTTCACTGGAAACTAAGAGCCATGAAACTTACAGACTGAGCGAACTGCCTGAAATATCCAAAACGGGTAACCGAATTCTAATTTACGTTCTGATATTCTTTCACCTTCATTTTATATACTGTTTTCGCATCGAACGTCTAAGACGGGCACGCAGCTTCAGTGCTCGTTTTAGTACTATAGCGTACGCTTTAGGATAGTAATCAAACCAACTTTTTCGAGAACAAGGCCTTAGCCTACGAGGGACTAACAATGACATTCACCTTGAAGATTCTTGCCGTTTCGACTTTTCCGGACGGTAAAAGTTCATGGATTTGATTCACTTCACGGAATGGTGCGCAATTCTGTTAATCTTTCTGTGAACCACATGTGCGTACTTCTTGCCTAGTCACTGAGGCTCGTCACCTAAGAATGTCCTAACCTTTGATATTTGTTTCTTGACCGACTTTCTAAATGATATCCTCCGGGTCGTTCAGGGACTGAGAGTATCATGCAAACCTAATTAAACAAAAGTTAAGCTCATGAAGAGTGGTAGAAACCATTGCGGCTCGCGTGAAAATATCCGACTAATCGCCTGATAGCCGGCGAAACATTCCGCAAATTGCTGCCGTCAGTCAATCGCTATGCCTTTTCGCAGTTCCCTACATACAGATACAATGCTATTGTAGCGGCCGAGGACGCCAAGGGTATCACACACCACGTAACGGAATATCGAGTAAGAGATCCTGGCTCGTGTCGATCTGAATACGATTGTTTGCAGTTCACGATACGCATCCATTCATAAAGAAGGAGAAACGATCAGTGGACGAGAAGATATAATGAACAGAAAAGGGAATTGAAAAGGTGTATAATGACAGTTAAAAGTACAAACGGGATGAGTTACAACAGTCGGGTGACCTGTCTGGGTGGAGAGGCAAGACAAACATGCTAGCTAGAAAACCGGTGGGGAACGCAGCGCTGGGGGCAACTGCAGGGAACGGCTGAGGGGGTTGCCGATGTAGCGAGGGGGCGGTACAGCGTTACGTCACAGTACGGAGCGGGGGAAGGGATCGGTGGAAGAGAGAGGAAGGGACACCGGCCATCTTCACCAACATGTGGCTACGCCATCTCCACCCTAGGTCCGCGTGCCGTAAATTGTCACGACATTCAAACAACCCTGCTCAGATCAGGGGACGTACGCTATTTCAAACTTCGGATATTGGTCTACGTGATTAATAATCTCTGAATTCTTGGCTCAAGCGCCCCGAATATCTCCGGGTCTTGCGTGTGTTTGAATGCAATGTTATCAATTAATTGTTTATAGTTTGAAGGCCAGTCTTTGAGGCCCTTCGTTCAATAGTGTAGACTTGACTTTACATCAGAAAAAGGTTTTCGTGCAACATTAGAAATCAGATGCACCTATTTATGGGAATCACGCCGCTACTTTATCTTACTGCATAAAAATTGATTTGGAAATTATTTTTGGAATTTCCTCCTATTTATTATTCTCTTAATTTTATTGGGGAATATGGTGGTCTTAATATCACGTTTAGTTTACGGATAATTGTAGAAAAGCAATGGGATATGTGCAAATATGGCATTCTGATTCATTGCAAATAAAGACCAATAATATGCTCCTATACGTACGTACGCACTGCTTCGCACCAGTACGGATGTAGTAGCTACTACATCCAGGCTCTTCCACGTGGAATATTATATTTCATAATATTTGTTCCAACGTTTTATATAAAACGCTGGAACAAATATTATGAAATATATATATATAATATATGAAAAATATAACAACCAGTAAAGCATAACTTTTATTGAACGGACGAAGTGCATAGGTAGTCGCTAATCCTGCCAACACATGGCCCCGGGGGCCAGACGGGGCGAGACGGGGCTGGTGCTAGCAGGGAAGTATCTCACAGACAAAAGGATACATTTGTATCCTCTCATGAGGCGGGGCCAGAGGGGCCTGGTCCTGGCAGGGATGTGTTCTAAAATTGTGCCTTAAAATCTATATACATGCGACGTTAATTAGTCGGTTTCAAGTCTAGCATTACTGAAAAGGATCGCTCGCGGCCTGTTTGGAATCTTTGACACTCCGCGCTATGTGAAAACTAAAGGTCCTGTATAATTGTGTTGCCGTTATCGGCACTAATTTTAAATACGTAGCGTTTGTCTAAAATGCGATGGTAATCGAGGCAATCTCTTCATATATCGTAGGTGTACATGTGATAAGAACATGAAGGAAAGTGTTTTGGATTTGAATGTGACCAATAATGTTGTAGGACAGATAATAACTGAAAACTGGTGTAGTACTTTAAAGCGCAAAAACTGCTACGTACTGGTAATAAACATTCAAGGCGCCTATGGAGTCGGTTAGTTACGTCACATCTTTAGCAACAAGTGCAGAGATTGTCAAATACAATGAGTCTTTTAATAGCGCATAATTGTACAAATTTAGTCCGCCAATTGTGCGGTTGCCAGGGGAAATTTCTTCCGTGTACATCACCGGAATTTGACCTTATTTTGTAAAACGTAGTTGTCGTGTTTTTTGCGTTGAAAATGTGTCTGTTGACGTTGCGGTGTTCCCTTTAGTACATTTACTCCATTAAGTATGTCACGGTTTCCACAGGCTATTCATTACATCTTTTCGGAATAATATCAACAGTTTTTGCAGCATTGTATGTCACTGAAGACAATATGTTACCCGAAGTTGCTTCATTATTCAGACTGCAATTAAATACTTTAAGTCAGAACTCCATACGTTGCACGGTTTTACTGTAAAACCAACATATTATGTATACTTATTTTAACTTTATAATTAATTTTCACTAGCAAGGAAGATGTTTTTAACATTATGAGATTTCCTTTTACCTGGATGATCTTGTTTGCAGAATATGGAAAATTTTCTTGAATCTGATGTGGGAATTTGGTGCAAAATGTTTTGGAGAAAATCTCGCACCATTCATGCGAGGGACCTAACTGATGGCATCTTCCTTAATCACGTATTCTGCGATATGTAAGTTTCCAGTTTCGTTCCAAATGTACAAGGTGGGTGCTGTGTGTCAGTTTAGGACTGACTTAAACGACTGGCAATTAATTAATAATACGTTTGCACTCTACTGATTGCAAAAGGCATATGAGTAATTTAAATGTGCTTAATACTTAGCTGCTGTTTCCTGATAAATTTCGGGTACACCACAAATTTCCATTATAATTTTCTTTTGCTAAGAGGTGATGAAATTAGAGTACAAACCGTGCTTATAACCTAAGGACTTTTGAGTTATGCCTTCTAAGTCTGTTTGTTCGAAGCCGCAGGTGATTTTGAACCTCTTCGTAATATAATGTAGAGCCAAATACGACTGGAATGAGATACATCAACGTCTGAGTGGCCAAAACGCCAATACGCGATTTCAAAATTGGAAGTTACTCGTCAAGAACTTACAGGAATATTACTTGGTATGTATTAACCTATCTGAAATTTACTTTGCTCGCCCGAATTTTGTGCATATACCCTGGTCAAATTCGCACGGTAATACAGTCATATGAACAGCCGGAGTAAAAACAGGCGTGGATTTTCAGAGATCTTTGACAATGACATTATTTTTGCACAATGACACTGCCTAATCTAACGGTAACAAAAGTGTTAAAAGTAAAAACGTCAAGCAAACCCCGTGAACAATTACGTGTCGTCAAAAATAACTATGACTTAATCCCTCTCAAGTCTAAATTCGGTTATGCATTTCCACGATTAACAGATAATTTAATGATTACTGCAGTAAGTTCTCAGCGATTAGCAGTTGACGAAATTTGACTTTGGTACTTCCTTAAAACGTTTTTCCGTCTTGTCTTTAGAAATCAATTACCCGTATTATATAACATAATACTGTATAAGATTAACAAAACTCACATGTACTGAACGCAAATGCTCCTGTAACACGCTATTTTGAGCCGCGAGTCCGAAGTTTACCCATCGTATTTTATTTGGGATTTGAAGTCTTCCAAAAACAAATTTTCAATTAAAGTCTCATTACCAATTACTTTTTTCCAAGCTCGTTTGGAATTTAGAATTTTCTAAAACGTCCACTTTGCCACTTCTGAGAATACAAAGAACTCATAGGTTACTGTTGTGCATATATATAGATTTTTGTATGGGTGTTGTTGAATACAGACAGTTGTCCCTATTTTCCAGGGTTCCTCATTGACGTCAAGTAATCAATGCGCAAGTGTCTTTATGCGTGTGATATGGGTGGTTTTCAAAACGTAGGTCACGAATGCAAAAGTTTGAAGCCTCATTTTTTAGTGATACAATGATTTTTGATAAGTCGCAGAAGCTAGGGACTGTACCTTTTTAAAAAGTTAAGAAACCTTAACCGGGCTAAATCATAGGCATATAGTTAAGTGCATGATGATATAATTATTGGGTTATTTGGCCTAGGTGATCTGAAATACTGAAATTTAGGTCCATTTTTGTATAAATACTTTGTCCGCCTAATCCGCCGTAACCCCTCGCTCTTTTAGCATGAAAAACTATTCTAAACAACCTTTTAATTACTTTAGGATCGACTGGAACGCTTGATTGTGATGAACCCTCCGAGTATATTTCACATTGTTTATGCGCCAACATCAGGCAAGTTTTCAATAAATTCCAAACATTGTCTTTTCTTTGGATATTTGACACGAAGTGTCCGGAACTATTTTGCCTTCTCGGTATAGCTGAGTTTCTCGTTCCTATGTACATCCTAGTTAGGAACTAGCTCGTAACCGTCCGTGATAATCAACGTTATGTCCTTAGCGTGTGCTTCCCATGCTGAATTATACTAATAGACGTTTTGAAGGCCTCTTTTTGCTGAAAGTTTCGTTTCAATATTTTTACATTCCTGCCGCATCCATGCGTGAAAGGTTTTTAATAGAAGATCTATTTTAGTTTCTTATTATATTCAACAAGTCAGGGGTTATCTAAACGAATTTGCTGTGCCTTCGCTTATTGTAAACTCAAATAGGATAAATTAAGTGGAGCTACTGAAATGCAGATTGCTAGTTCTTCAAGTCCCGTATATGTGTCTGAATCACTGAATGGTTCGTCTCCATATTCAGAAGTGTCACCTGTTTTCTCGTTTCACAAATCGTCTTTTCACGCTGGAATAAATACTTCGTACTGCATATTTTTGCATTCAGCCAACAAAACTTGAATCCGTAGCTTTCGGATTCTGTTTATAGCGAATTTACTGAATAAGACCTACGTCTTAGCTCATATCCATAGTCGGACCATAACTTGCTTGCCAGAAAGAAGAAGCAGCGTTCTCTAGATCACATATGATTGTACTCTGACGCTACCTGGAGTTCGTTCTCACTGTTTAAAATGCGTGTTGGTGATAATTCTCCCTCTGACTCTTCAGGTGCAGCTGTAGTTGAAATCGAGAAAGCGGTACTCCTGCTTCTACTGGCTGCCATCAAATGCGAACACCGGGAGTTCTTTATTCGCCAAATAATGGAGCAACTAAATGCTGACGTCCAGAGGGGCATAATGCAGAGTATAACCTGTGTAAGTACAGTCAATGAGTCGGCACGTCGAAATATCATGATTTGCCATTTACACTACTTTTCATTGATTACCTATCGAAGTTGTTATTCGCGAATTTGTGGCATAATATACTAGAAAATCCAATCAGTTAGATTTTTCCTATATGAGTCCGCATTTTACATTTTAAATGACGTCTGAGTCATGAGGATTAGCGGTTCTAAAAAACAAGGCAATTCCCCGATTATTAACACGTTTTTACAAATTTGTAGCTCGGCAACACGTTTGCCACATAGTTCTAAATTGCATGGATTTTCTACGTTCAAACTTAACTATTTCCTCTGGCCATTCCAGTTCACGGACGGTCGTGAAGGCGTGCTAAGTCTTGCTGATATCCATGACCTGAACCCTGAACTTGAATTGACCTTGACCCGGGCCATCTCGAACAGAGAAGAACTCTATTTTCGCGTAAGTTACGCATAATTATATGATCATTTGCAACAAAAACACCCAGGTCTTCATAGACAGCCCCCATCATTCCCCTAAAAAGGTTTTTTTTGAAATTCTCTTACCGCATTTCTGGAGGTAAGCCAAATTCGAAAGACAAGTAGGTGCTCACGTAGCAGTACCTTATCGCTCGTTGACTTAAAAAAACAAAGGCTTAGGTTGGTGCCCCGTACCTGTCTTTTTCACAGCAAGGCCAAAATCTGAAAGCATAAGCTACGGCTTGCTTTGTTTACACGAGTATGCATACACGGGGTCGCAAAAAATTCAAACGCCCGATGGATCATCAAAAAGTCCCTGTCTGCTACGGCACATATCATTTTCAAAATGCATTTGCTTTTACAGTTGATACCTGTTCTGGTCCAGACACCCTATTAACGCAGGGTAGTGGAATCACAAACCTCAAGAAGCATTGTTTGGTATCTGAGTGCATTCTTGTCCGAAGGCTACTCTCAGCTCAGCGATTATTTCTGTTTTTGTACCATGAACTTTACTGTCGGTAGAAGCGGATAGCTGAGTTCGGGGAAGTAGCTCAGAAGAAGAAGATGCGATTTTTGGAACAAGAACGTGATCAGGTGGTGGCATTTAAAGAACATCTCAACGCCGTCATCCCGGACATGCAATTAAAGATGGAGGAGAAAGAGTATAAGCAGCAAGCCTTGCTTTTGCTCTTATTTGCCACAAATACTGCAGTGGTTTAAAAACCAGTGTTAAGGGAAGCGAATAATACGGCACAAATACTGAGCTTCAACAGCAATCATCTTATCAGGCACAAAACATAGTAACTTAAAGGCGTTATACCGGCGTGTCGAGATACATTGCAGCGAACCGGAAGGTACGGTTTCTGAACTGCAGTATCCTCGATAGATGCTTTAAAGCGAATGGTTTTCCGCTCAACTTTGTCACACGGTGCATGCGTAAACGCAACGAAAATCGAAATTCGGCCGGCCCCAAATTTTTGCGAGCGCTCTCATACGTTAAGAACGTCTCTAAAGCCTCCAGTTGCCATCTCACACCACTTGGGTTTGGAGTTGCACACAGACCGGGGGCAACCATCAGGTGCCAGGTCATGGGTCCGATAGATCCACTGCCGCGGCAGGAAACGTCCCGAGTCATTTACCGGATCGGGGGCACTTGTCGGCAAAGCAAGTACGTCGGAGAAATGGAAAGATTAATCCGGACGCGAATAGCCAGACATGCAGCGGAAGTGAGGAGGAACGACTCTAGCTCCCAGCTCGCGACGACACCCAGCCACACCTTCAAGTTTGATGGGGCCGAAATTCTCTCAAGAGCTGGCAACCGCGTGAGCCGCAAGCTGTTTGTGTCATATTCTCCCGGCCGCATTCAATTAACAAACACAATGACCTTCCGGCTCCATATAATGTGATGCTATTTTGCCTGGGCAAAATAATTAGCCGTGTGGGGAGGGCGCGGCTGGCCAACAGTTCCGGTGACAGTGAGCCAAATTGCCGAGTAATCTTCACATCGATAATCCACAGCCGTGGTGAAATCACGGCCATTATAGACTCAGGCAAGGACCGAAGCAACCACCGCATCAAGTACGATCTTTAGCGATGAACCGGAATCACGTTAACTACTGTAAGCATGTGGTTGTCGGACAACTGCGTCGCTTAAGTACTGCACTCCTTGTGCCTCTACTAGAATTTAGTGTGACTGTCTCTGATGATGGGTTCGAGAAAGAATCAGAAACGTCATGCCACTAAACTTACTGTTCCAGCGATCGCCTCTTCTTCTTCGGTGGACTTTAGCCTTTGAGTATATCGATAAACAATAGTAGAGATGTGAGATCTGATGAAAGATGAGGCTGTTTTAGGCAACCACTTTGTCCACTTCGTCTGGTTGGCAGGACCTCATAGGGGTAGTCCCTTGCAACTTAATGGTGGTTTGGATGTACTCCATCCTGCTGAAAACAACAGTCTTCATCTTCAAAGACCTCTCTAATGATTTCACGAAAGACTGTCGCAGTGGTTTCAGGTAAATGGGACTAATTCCCTTAGCAGCCAGAAAGAATGGCCTTAATGCCGCGTCACTATTCGTCTACCGCACAGAGTTTCTTCGACTTTTATGATACGTTTCCAGTATGTTTCTCGCTCCGTGTCACTCGTTGATGCCTGTAGTCCCCGAAGCGCATCATGTTGAAATTCTGGATAGTTTCATTAGCTCCGAGCTTATCCTCAATTTAAGTGGCGACAGGCCACACACGTGGGCCTGCTTGAAATACCCTACTAAATTGTCTTTGTAGCTGAATCACTTTTGAGAACTTCCAATAGCATTTTAGGATGAATTTTGCCTGTTTGCGTCTAATTGCTGCAGCCGTTCTTACTTCTAGCGAGTAAAATCTGGAAAGGAAAAGAAAACCAACTGGCTTGACATTTAAAATAAAACAAGATTCCATGTGATATATATGTTAAATAAGAACAAAAATAATTTGCTTGGCCATCACTCCAATGCAATGCAAGCACCGGTGACTTTTCGATGCATTATGTCAACTACAACGGAGTAGGGAAGTATCCTTTAACAGACAATCGTGTTGACTAATTCTGAACACGCTATTTTCATTTTCTCTCAGACAGTCGACCATTTTTGGCAGTTCACAGTTCGGAAAACTTTCTGACTCGTTTTTATACGTTTCTGACTGTGGGCACAGGATATAACTCGGAAAGCGTGCGCGGGAAGCATCTAAATGGCTGATGACTTTCTGGCGGTCGCTTACTATCGAAGTGTATTATCTACGATATCCTCGCTAATCACTGTGCCCGGCGTGTGGCTCAACTAGAGTTGGATTTTTAAACTTCGCAGAACCGCCTAAACACATAGTAGACCTAACATAACAATGCTGTTTCAGCGAATGACGGTACGTGGTCCGAAACCCCCTCCTCCTTCCTTCTCGCGATGAAACTTTACCTTCTCATACAGCAAAATTCTCACTAAGAGATTTTGTGGGAACCAGGTCGATGAGCGACCGCGCAGACCACTCATTGCCAGAAAAGCTGTTTTATATTACTCTTCACACTTTAAGGAATGCCTGCGAGAGTGAAGGTTCATACTATTTATTATGGGATAGCAAAGTTAGTATGGTGCGTTGGTAGTTAAGTGTTGGAAATTCCAAAATAAATTTCTTGCAGAAAGTCAGTGAGTCCAAATCACTGCTGTAAAACTGTTATGTTTATCCCCATGTTTCAAAAGCAGGAACTGCACTTTAATATTCTTCCTCACAGTCGGAACGGCAAACATTCTGCTGACGCATTTGATGCGGATACAGGAAGAAAGTTACTGTATGTTTACCGTCACCATCTTCATATACAACCATACTGCTCCCACCCAACGTACACATCCTTGCCCATTTTCATTTGGCAAGGATGGATGCGTCTGCAGACATGCCACATATATTCTAATTTGGGACGGTAGTAGGACTTTCCGTTTTGCCGTAGGGCTAAAGCTCCACTGCCCACGTCAATGGTTGCATATCAACTAACAGTCAATCATGGTTCAAAACCAAGATTTTTCGTCTCCGTGGTTGTACTCAAGATAGCAAACAAGTCTGAAAGGGTCCCCCTAGTCCTTTTTTATGATATGCTCGCATGTCGTGCTGAATGTGGCTCTGAACTGTTACGTTCCAGTTGGCCGAGGAAGTAATCCTCAGGATCTGTGATCGTCACCCAGACTGGACGCCCACCAAGGGTCGCTATTCCGACGGAGGAGGACCAACCAGCTCCCCAAAGGAGAACGGCGCAAAACGCAGTCATTCTCTGGCCTCTTTACTGGACCTCCTCGGTGGTTCCTTCAAAGGCCCCTGCCCTAGTTCAGTTACTGGTGTCACAGATCCTGACACCGCCGTCCATATCAGACACCACAGTGGCTCTACCCTGACAACAAGATCAGAAGATAAACAGAATGATGGGAAGAAAATTTTTCCAGAGGTTGTGGAGGCGAGTGATGAAAACGAAATGAAAAACCTGATGGACTTGATGGAAGGCAGTAGTCTTGATCGATTCCTGGCCTCTGTGCACACGTTTGAAATCGGGAAGGGACAAAAGCAGGTCATTGACGAAATTCTTGATCTCAGGTCCAAACTCAGAAAGCAAGGTATTCAAATGTAAGTTCTAACGTACTCATGTAAACGTTCAGAACAAACGTGTCACCGATTAATGCTCTCAAAATTGTGAGATAAGGTGGCCGAGGTGTACCATTTGACATAGGAGAAGCGAACAAACTGCAGCATTGTAGTAACAAACAGCATAAGTTCTAGAGTTCAGTACTGAGCTTAACATCATTAGTCCTTATGGCATCAGATGAAGACTAGGATTATCGTCATAATTACTGTTAGTATTACTGCAAAAACAAGTACCAAGCTTACAATTCCTAGCTACCTTCATTAGCACACTTTGGTTAGACTGGTGTAACTATAGACATTCGTCTTGGGTAACTGTCAGTCGATAGGCTTCTGAAAAAATCCAGAACACTGGCATGCAGTGAAACCGAGAATCCTTTTCAAGAACAGTTATATGACCATTTATTTTCTTAATCTGTCTTTTTACCACATGTAATGGCTCATAGAAACACTAGTTGACATTCATGCGGACATATTCTCTGTCAGAGTCGAGTACACTTGACTCGAGACGCTTAGTCTTGCTTACATTCCTGCTCACTTTGTACGTGTGTGCCCATGAAGGTACACATCTGGAGGTAGGCGAAAATGCACGCACACGGACTGTTTGTTTTGCAGCTCAGACCAGACGGACGAGTTGGCGGAGTTGCATGAACAGTTATGTGAAAGCCAGCGAGAGCTGAGTCAACTGCGAGACGAGCGGGCCCGCCTGGCCGATGCTGCAGTGTGCGCCCGGCACTGGCAGGACGAGGCCGACGCCGGCCAGCAGGCTATTGCGCAGCTTAAACAGCTAGAGAAGGAATTCGAGAAGCTGAAGCAACGTCTCGACGCTGCGCAGTACTACAAGGTGAGTCTCCGCAACCCACCATTGGACGCGCGCGCGCACGCTCGCGAGGGTGGACATGCGTTATTAAACGCGCACTGCATTTTCGTTATCTGAAGAAGAAGAAGAAAATGGGCTCACCGAAACAGGTTTATTTAGATGCTGACGTTTTAAGGAGCTTGATCGGCTCTCCAGTGTCAAAGCGTAAAATGCACTTAATCGACCAGAAATCCCAAGTGGCGTGTCACGTTGGTCAGCCTCGTGCTGATCGATTTTCCTCTCCTCTCGCCGCCTCGGCCTCTCGGGGAATGGTCGGCGGGCGTTTTGTCCGCGTGCTTTGTGAGCCACCACTCCGTTATCATTACGTGAAGATGGGAATTATGACCTACTCAAGTTGACGCAGCCATTAGAAACCACCATGGTTGATCATTATAGGGGAGTCTTTATGCATGATATTTTGCATTCGTTTCCGTGCTTTAAGATTTTGAAACGGTGAGGCTGATCGTTGTAAAACCCAAATTCGATTAATACCTGCCCAGCTGACTGAAGAATTTAAGTACACGCTATATTCTGAACGCGTGAGCACAGATATTAGCATTAAGCGTTCATGCTGAGAGATCACGTTCGGTGGTTTCTGCCATGTTTGGACAGGCGGAACGCAGTTTTTTAGCTTGGCCCATTTGTATAACAGTTAAACCGGAAAAGGGAATTACGCCGAATACATGTTTTGCGTTCTAGTGTCCTTGAGAAAACTGTCTTTGTGCCCCGTCACCTCACCCACTGGGAGTCCCCATCTCCCAAACAAACCTCCCATTGTACTCATTATCAGAGCCTTTAAAAATAAAATCAATAAACGCTCCGAGCATAAAAGATGCAGCGATTTGTTAAGCAGACTGGTCCGTTTCGTTCTAATTTCGCTGTATTGGCCGTGAAAAGTGTTTACGAATTCGCAGGCAGAGCGCATGGACTAAACCTGCGACCCCATCCAAATATTATATGAGGATAAAGCAGAAGGCCAACTGGATCCAAGGCCTTTACGATGCCAATTTCATTTTTGTAGAGAACAATTTCAAATTTGTCAAAACGGACAGCTAGGCAGGACGAATTTCGGTTTGCCTCTGGACTGTCAACAAGCCGCAGTCCAAGTGGATGCTTTTAATTCAGGCCACTAACGAAAGACTCCTGGAAGACTGAAACAAACCACCCTTTTGAAGCCTAAGCTGTAGACGGACATTCATGACGTAGCGACTCTTGCTCATTGCTATGAAAATTCGGTAAGATGTGATTTGGTAGCCCCACCTAATGGACACAATACTGTTGAGGTTGGGGTTATGGGTTAGGGGTTATGGCTAGGGGTTGGGGTTAGAGGTTAGGGTTAGGGGTTTAGGATTGGGGGCTATAGTTAGGGGTTGGGGTTAGGGGTTAGCGCAACTATTTCTCAACCATTGAAAGTACAACCACGTACTCCCAATAGCTTTTCTTTTACATACAACTACTTGACCTCGTCGCCTGTGCGTTCCCCGGCTTCACCTGTATAAACACCTATTACCACCGGTCCCGTATTAGAGGTGACCGAAGTTTGTTTACTTCAGGTGAGGCTACCAAACCATATCCGACCGAAAATTCAATTGGTGGATAGAAAATCAGGATGGAATGTGGCTGATTTTAATGGAGTTCGCCGTCTACAGGCGAGAAGAGAGTTTTAATCGGTGGTATATTCATCTGAGCAGTTTTGGGAAGGGAGGTTAACTTCATTTTGTTATCCCCGTCTTAACTGAGGAATGGACGAACCTGGGTTTGGGCCTCTTTATTTACTCCGGAAAACATTTACTCAGTCTATAGCATTAAGGGTCAGATCAGTCTCGTCAAGGGCACCCGGGAAGAAAAGAGTTGCCTTAACAAGTTGTCAGAAAAATATCTCAACGTCGGCAAAGCGAAGTCGAATGACATGCAATCAGATATCCGATACCAGTATTGACCATAATTAGATGAAGAGAAGTTCGTGAAATGTGGTGTCTTGTTTACATTTTCTTCGCGAAAATAATTTTTTAAGATTACTACTTACTCTATATTTTGTGCCATGGGAATATGCTCCCGAGAACAACTTTAAGTACCAGGTTGGCTTTAATGAACGGCCAGCTTATATTGCGAATAGCACATGCAACTTTGGGATATGGTTTTGAGAAGCCCAGCTATTTTCTGCTGAGGGACTGGGCGCTTTTCGTTGTCTCATTGAAGTTTAACTGCGAACGACATAGGGCCCATTAATTCTCATCATTAAATGGGTGAGGAGACTTTTCGAAGAGTCTTATTTTACGGGAGATCGACATCCCTATAATACCGACCTATTGAGTCTACCAGGGATTATCCTAATTGCTTTAAATCTGTGAATCCCAACTGTCTTCATGTCTGATTATTCTGAGGGCAAGGAACCCTCTTCCTTAAAATACCTTCGCGTCGCCGATGTCACAAGTGAGCAGACAGCAACTTTTGTAAATAGTTTTGACCTTTAAGGCTGACAGTGGGAATGCTGGTAGCTTGGAGCAAGGACATTCTTTCTGAAGTTGACCCGCAGATGTCCTGTATAAAGCTGGCTAGTATTTACCCACCTTACCATGTCCAGACAACTTTTAAAACCTCGTCAAAAGGGTTTATGAAATTTCGTCTACCTGCAACAGTACGTTTCGTTAGAGTTCTAGGCGTCTAGTGTCCTATTTAGGGCACATAGAGTTCATTTAAACTGACCTAGAGACAGTATACTCAAAATCGTCCGCGAAAACCTGGTAGCGACTTCTTTTTCCAAGAATTGCAGTCTCATAATCATAATATGCGGGTTCGGATCTTGCGTGGGCCTTGCTATATACGTATAAGCCATTTTCATTGCACCATTTCACATCGACCTTATAGCCATAGTTTTTGCAGATACACCTCAATACATATCTTCATCCAGGTTTAAGTGTTTGATAGCATCCGAATCATACCTTCTTTTTGGAAAAGTTTGGAAACTTCAATGGGCTACTTCTCATAATAGTATAAATGCTCCCAACCTTAGATTCGTTGTCAGGAACTTGGCGAAGAGATTACAGTCCTTACCGAAGAATGCGAAAGTTTGAAGTTGCGAGTATCAAAAGAGGATGAAGAGGGGACCAAACTGCGTCTCCTTGAAGAAAAACTTCTGGAGAAGTCGAAAAGAATACTGGACCTTGAGTGGGTAAGTTGGAGTCTCGCTTTCTGACAGCGTAAGGGTTTGTCATCAGGTATTTACTCAAATCAGACGTGCTGAGTCTCGAGAGTAGAAACTAACATTTTTACCTGGTTTCACTTAGCAACATGACAAGGACCTGGAGGAAATTCAATGGATGCGAAACGAACTCACTGATCTGCAGCTGAAGACGATTTCATCAGTCCGACTGCATCAACTTTCCCCGCAGAGTGGTGAGGGCAATGATGAAATTAGTGAGATTAATGATCAACTGAACCTTTTGCTGCCCAACCAGTCAACAGAGGCAGGCTTGCTTTCGGTTGACCTACCAACTCCTCCACCACCAATGACAATCGACTCTTCGTCTGCTCAGGAAGGAGGCCTTCATATCACACAGGTTAGCATTACCTAACGGTCAGGTTGCTTAAGTGGCGAATAAGTTCCATTTTACACTCGGCTCGGGGGGGAGTATAAATCAAGCAACTATTTCAATTAAACCACAATTCACAAGAGCGTGGCTCACGTGCGGAGTCACTAACATGGGTTCCACTGTCAAGGGGTATTACTGACAAGAGTTATAGAGAGCGAAATGGCCAGTCGTGCCGCCATTCCAAACCTTGGGGTCCTGAATCTGCAGTGCAAAAAATCGTTTGTATTCCAACCTCTACTTAGGGTTGGTCGCAAGCGCCACTTGTCCCGTTAAAATGAAAATAACTATGGCGGAGAAAGCTGCTGCGGTTTAATCGCCTTCGGGCAGCAGTTCTTCTATGAGAACTGAAATGGAAGCGGTCCCAGAAGATAAACTGTGTGTATGCTTCACCTTCGTAACTATTATTCTCCGCCACATAATAATTTCGGATTTCAAATTCAGAGAATAGAGCAGAGTGGCATTTCTTATACCCCCATGTGGAAGCTAATGAATATTTCATTCGCATATTATACATAGAGCCATGTGAATTTAACTGTGAAAAAATGGCTTTTTATTATATGGTACTTATATGGACACACGGGTTTCGGTGATTTTCAACCCGCTAAACCCATTCTGGTGTATATCCAACTGCTGAGTTTTCATTAGTGGCCACGTTTTGGCGCAGCGAAAACGACCCCCATAATAGGTTGTTTTTCATGCCTAGCAAAATCGTAAGTAAGAGCGGAAGAATATGCCGGTAGATTGCACCTCACAGAAATTCGTGAATTATAACTGCCTGAACCGAGCCCGAGAACCCGATGACTTTTGGGAACCGCTGCACGACTACGGGTCAGCGTCTCGAATGTTTTAATGCCGTAAAAATGAAGTTGATATGGTATAAAACTTGTTTCATGTGATTATTCGGTAGAGTTCACGAGAAGCTGAGCAATAAGTGTTGTGTTCCAAATGAAAAACAATTTATTTGCAGACCAAAAGCATCTCCCTGTTACACAAATTGACCATTTCTGTTTTATTGTGGCCGTGTCCTTTTTATACGGCCGTTTAACACCGCGTTCAAGTTAATTAAATCAACTTTGAATTGAGTACCTCCTCTTCCGTTCAAAAATTTTTTCATTGCCCAACGCTCACTCCTAATGACCGCCCCGACGTGAGCAGGTAAATTACAGGAAATAATCGATATTATCTAATTCCCTTCCTCGACTTCCGTGCGGAACATTTCTGGTAAATCTTAACCCCATGTAGCCAGCTTTCAGCAACAAACTTATGCAATAAGGAAGGCAAAATTAATTTGGAATGTAATAGACTACGAACTAACAGGGAGTGATTGGAAATCACCGCATTTGGGGCAACATTTGAAATGACTGAAGCCGAGAGCTGAGATAGAGGGAGTTACAGTCACTAGAAAGGTCCTCCTGTTTCCAGTAATTCGCTTGTGCCGCTGGACTATATTTTAGGATTTACTACCCTACCATCCAACTACTCTGCATACGTTCCGGATTTCCTTCCCTGCTCCCGGTCAAAGAGGTCCTCAACCCCGACACTTCTAAATGCGCTGATCGTATCTGCCGGACGGCTGCTGAGTGGGTGCTGATAGACAGAATTTCTGTTTCTCAAGGCCATGGACTGGTCGTCAAAGCTGCGAAAACTGATAGTGTTCAGTTTTGTTGATAATCTCCTCTCACCATTTGGAATTGTTTCAATTTGGTAAAATGCCTGGCTCGCACAGATCCTTCTGTAGGCCCACCGTCATAAAGATGTGGCTACCTTAGAGTCTGGCGGGCAGCAGCCGATCAGCCCCTCCGACCCAACATCTCTTTACCCCCTTACTTTCTCCTCCCGCCACGGGCTTATCAGAGGAGCTTGTTTTACGAGCATGGCCCGCTGACCCCGCCCTGTGCGCATGCGACGTCCACCCAACCTCATAAATTAATCCCATTACTCTGATGCATTGAGCGCGACCTTTAGGGTTCACTTATGGGCTGTAAGGCGAGAGGTTGGCCGCATGCCTGTGGGCCAACGAACCGCTGACGGATGAACAGCGACCGCTGCGAAAGGCGACGTCGGGTGAATGACGCATCCGTGTGACACATGGTTATTCTGCCTGGTTTGGGGTCCTGTCATCTGCATTAATTATTTTCGCCCTGCGGTGGTATGCATGTACACGCCAACAGGACTGACGCACAGCCAAATGGAGGGCTGTTTGGTGCGTTCGGCGACTTTGATAGGTCCTCATGTGGGTGACCGCCCTCAAGCTGCCTCACGGTCCTTTCTTTCTTTCATTTTTCCACGTTATGCGAACATACTGCGAGAACTGGCCAGTTAGTGCTCGAATCTGAGTGGCCACTAGGTTTCAGCCTGTTGTTTAGGGCAAAAATCCCTCCGCTCTATGTGACTTGGTGGGTAGAGTAGTTTTGCGCACTACCCATCCACGTAGATACAAGTAGCACTTTAAAAAAGTACTTTCAAACAGCCAACATTAAAGTCTATGCGTGCATAGAACGACAATTAGGCCGTGGCATACGACGATGTCCGTTGCGTGCCCCATGGAGTTTCGCAACACCAGTAACGTACGCGTAAATTTGTTTTGTAGTGAGGCAGACTTGCGCCGCATCTACCACACTCCCTCCTCCCCCATTCACCTTGCTTCCATAACGATACTATTTCAGGACGGCCGGAGGTTGGCACGGGCGCAGTGGCTGACAAAGTTAAATAGACCATCTACACATGCAACCGCAGTTGCACTTTACACACAGCGTCAGACGTAGAATGATGCATAAGCACACATTTCGAGTCAAACAACAATGTTCTTACTCCACTCGAAGAAAGTGTTTAAACATGCTCGTTTAGTCAATGGTCTGTAGCCGCACTGATCCCATCATAGTCTTTATGAATCATCTCCTCACGCCCGAAGTGCCTTAGCATGCGATACCCACACAATGCTGTACATGTACATAAGCGGTGATCGGGAGGCGAGGTCTGACTCATAGCCTGATGAGCCCTAATCCCTGAGGTTCATAAGTGCTGAAATCAAGATTTGTCAAGCAAGTTTGTGAGTGCCGTTCACTGATGTAACGTTCATCTGTGTGTCTCTTGACTGGGAAATTAAAAAAGCTCAGACACTGACCTAGAGTCACATACGTCAGTCGAGTTTGATTCCTGGCTTGGAACTATGACGTCAGTAACTCTGAGGTCATGTATCCGTCACACACTTTGATGACTCCAGTATCGGGATACCTAGAGCCACGACGCAGGGTTAGATCGCAGTTGGTAGCCAGGAATGGGGAGGCGGACAGCCAGGTCCCTGTCGTACGGGAATGGTGTGAAAGAGGGTTATATGGGTGGGGTAAATGGAAGGGCTGATAGAGGAATGCTGGAGTTTCTGGGTAAAAGTAAAGTTACCAGGGAAAGTGCTGGGAAGTTTTAGGTAGGTTTAGTAATGGCAGAAATTGAAGCCCTATGCGTAACATTAAAATCCAACTCTGACCGCAACCGTAAAGCCTAACCCTAAGCCTCAAAACAGAAACGTAACCAAAATCCTAAAACCCGAAGCTAACACAAAACCTAGCCATAACCCTAACCTTGACCCTAACCCTAATCTTAAACCTAATCCCAACCTTAAGCCTAGCCTTAACCCCAACTCTAACACTGAAACCTGACCCTAAATCGCGAACCCTAATCATAAAACTTAACCTGCTCCTAATCCTAACCCTCACTAAACTTAACAGCCTGACCGAAACGGGCGACCTACCTAACTCGGTAAGAGCACACCTACTGATAACAAGTTCCCTAGATAAGGTAAGCATACCTACTGATAACAAGTGCGTACGTCGACAGTATCGACATATAATGTCTGGCTACCAACCGCGATCTTACCCGACGCAGTTGTAGCGAGTAAGACACCACTTGCAAGGTGACACCTGTCGTCTTCACTGATGGCTTGTGATCGGTCATAGTGTTGGGAAGTCTCACACTTTTCTGGAGCAGTTACTCTGCTCATCAGTGCGTCAGCCAGAGTGAACTGTTAGCCCGAACAAATTCGCAAAAGCAAAAGTCATCATGAACTCCTAGGACAACAGGCAATTAGTTAAGTCTCCCAATTTTCGCCTTCTGCGAATTCAAATTTAACGATTAACTTTTCGAAAGGCTACAGCTGGTGGCTCCTACTTTTTGGCGATTTGGAACAGACATACAGCCGAATCGGCGTCATTTCTTGAATTCTCGTCATTCGTCAGTTGTACACGGACGTTATAACTGTGTTTCACATCGCCAACACCGTCTCATTGGTTTTGAGAGTGAGAGGTTTTATTGGCTTGGCCTCACGAACTGTAGTGCTATTGCTCCTCCAGTGAATTACTGGTTTTCTGGAGGATGTCCTTTCTATCGTGCACTGCATGCGCGTTTTTTCCGGGTAGCAAGTCGCGTAGCTTCTATACTATGCGAGGCAACGATACCTGAGGCTAAACAGGGCTCTGCGTCTAGGATCCCCTGTCAGCCTGAGTAAAAACGATGTCATTTTCAGCTGTGAGATGTACACGATTGATCTAACTCCAGTCTAAAAAGGCTTCAGACTGCAACACCTTCATTAACTCCCGAAGATCTTAGGAAGGCGTGTTAGGTACGAGGTTATAGCTACCGCAATGCTCTGAACCACGTGACTATCTAAATTTGCTGTAACTTTTTGCATCTATTTTTACGGGCTTATTCAGTCAGTCTTTCAAGAGGAGGTTAAAAGTTCTCGCCCATGAACTCGAGATGCTCTGGCAGTATTTAACTCATCTATTGGCACTCCAAAGGGGACTGTTTTGCTGCAGAATACTTGCATGGATGCCGCACGTGTGTGTGACATGCTTTAGGCAGTGACTATGGACTACGTCAATCACTGCGTCCAATGATCTATCTGGGTCGTTTGGATGATAGATGCTTCGGAAAATACGCGTGTTGCACGTGGATTTAACCCCGATAAGCGCTCCCATGTCTGCTATCAGTTATTTTATCATCGTCTTTGTTTGTGACGAAAGACCTATCGTGAGACAATCACAAAAAACTGGACTACGACTCGTCTCCGAGGCTGGTTGTTTAAACGACCTTGTCGGACAAATTCTTCAGTAACGAGTTATTTTCGGGACGTCTCCACAGAGACTGTATCTAAGCCTTGTTGATGGCTCCTCGCAGGAAAAACTTTTTCATATGCAGACCAACCACACTTAAATAAATACATGAAACAACGAGAAAGGTTAGAAGAGCTAGTTTCTGAAACAAGGACTTTATTCGCTCAATTTTGAACATTTTCGTCTTGGGCAATAGCTCGAGCGCGAATCAAAAACGACAGATAGGCCAGAACAGGTGCGACACTACGTGTCGACAGTTGCGCAAAATTCACATCTCAACTAATGACGTGAAGGAAAATAATACCGTCGTGAAATAACAATGGGGTAATTGGGATCTATCGCCGCCGATTTTTAATCACTGATTTGCGGATGCTTCAGCATGATACAGCAAAATATTTGCCGATAGTTTAGGGCTTGTCCATAATTTCATCCATAAGGAGTAACTTTACTGCTCCGTCTGAGTTGGGCCTCTATCTAATGCAGTAGAGTTGATATGGTTCATCTGCTTTACCCTTTCCCACGGCTCAACTCATGCGAAGGAATACTTCTTTCATCTCCAATTCCAAACGACTGTTTAAATAGTTTTTATTTGAATTTGATTTACTGGATTATGGCCTTAGAGTATCGAATTCATCTCTCTTCACGTAAAAAGTCAGCACTGTGATAACTCTTTGAGTGCATAATCTTGTCCGAGCCTTAATTAATCACAGAATTTTTTGCCACGAGATGTCCAACCATCCTCCAGGTGCCGGTCATTATCCGTTTACGTCATAAACGTTAGTTTGGATTTTGGCTGCTGAACGTGCGCCAGACCTGGGATCGTCCTCAGCAGAATTTCTGCCATGTAGCGATTTTACAGCTTTATTTTACTATATGGGCTACGTCGAATACAGATTCTTGCAAAGGTTGCCCATGCCAGAATTACCTTTTGAAGGCGCCATTTGCGTAGTGTGAGAGTCAGGGAAGGTGATCGTGATTTTGTTTCATTCTCATCATGCGTTATGCTTTTACCTGGAAAAACACAAACGCTTATCGGTGAGTTGCGGAATCGCATGAGTTGCAGGCACTAATGCACCTGAACTGGACTTAGTATGTCATCCACATGTACACCAACGACAAACTCATTTTTAAAAATATTTTCTACCTGGGTTCTTACATCAATCCTTGGCGGCAAAGACGATTCGGATTTTCCATGAGTTTATTTGACAGCAGGAGGCGAAAACTGTGGTTTATTCTGTCATAACCGTTAAGTCATATGATTGTCAAATGGCGCATTTCCTGACTAAAATGATTTCAAAACACTAATGAAAGGCCCTTGGCGAGTTTAAAGTCCGGTGTTGTCACCAAATCTCGTGGTTTCCATTACTGAAGTCATCCACTGACTCGTTGCTTCAGTGGAAGCTGCCTACGCCCTAAGAAAGTAGACAAAGTCATACTGACGTCATGCATTATTCGGAGTTAACCTGATAAACAAGACTACCCCTGCAAGTATTATCGTGCCTACTTTTTCCTGACCGAGCCGGCGGGATTTCTGAGTCTCTTGTACAGGCATCGCTTACTTCTGGCAGTTTGGCCCGCCCGACAGGACCCTAAGTATTGGTAGATGAGAGGATGTGGCTTAGTCTCTTGATTTGATAAGCAAATATCAAAAAGTGAATACTCAGCGAAACTGATCCCACGCTAGCGCACATTCATAATCAAAATGAATAAGAGGGGGTTACAGCGACCGCAAACATCTTTCATCGGTCCAAAAAGGGAAGATAGCACATTGGAAACTAAGCAAACGTTAAAGTCAAATAATCGAATATTGAAGATCAGTGAGGTGGAACTGCCGTTTGACGCGTTTAGGTACCGCGTCTGCCATATCATGTAGTGAGGCAGTTTTATTCATTCGATTTTGCACAATTTAATTATAAGCGCAGAAGACTGGTCGAGCACCAGGACAGTCTGTATATTGCTCCGGGCTTTCGAACTCGGGCACGAGTCCCACGTCAAAAATAGCAGCATCAGTAGAACGAGCGGCAATTAAAGGGCGTGCTAGTCAGTTATCGATCGGTAGCGCGGGGTTCTACGCCGACGTCCGGTCGATAAATCGATTGTCCGAGTTCTCTTCCAAAGCCCGAAATGTTTTATCTGGCACCACACACCTCTTCCAGCTCTATCAGATCATGTACACCTTAGTATGCATTGTTCAAGGATATTTTTATCCTAATCCCCAACTACCGTGAGTTGCAACCTGCCCGTGTGGGAGGCTTCTACAGGTCTTTGAAGCCTATGGCAAGATTGTCGAAGAGCATGGCCATCAGTTACGTAGCCTTGTAGCCGTCTGTAAGCAGGCGATAGGACAGCTCCCCATTGCTTGTACGATCTCGCCAGAGTTCCACGCTCTCAAACGCCGAAATCGAAGATTGACAGAGGCATGCGTGTCGTCTGCTCAAATGCTGCTCGCTTCATCACTGTAGTTTCGACATGAAGGATGGCAAAAATGTTTGATTTTATATGGAGGAGTGCTCCTTATGACTTTTTTTCGGCGAACTTCAAAATTTCCGAAAATATCACTGACATCTTAAACGTTAGCTTCAGTCTTCCTCGGAGGTAATTCACCATGTGGTTTTGCCAGCCCTGTCGATGGCCTCTCTGACAAAGTGTTCTCGCTGCCAATTTTTCTTAAACCGTCCACAAAAAAATTATAATGCAATGACAGGGGACAAGAAGCCCAACTTTTATTTTCAAGGAAGACTGAAAAATAGAATACTTTAACATGACCCTTTTTCCCTTCGAGAATAATGTAACTTAAAATACATAAGGCAATATTGCATTTTTCGAAGTATTATATTTTTCACGCACACATGCTGATTTTCCTTGCAGGAAGTCGAGTTCGACTTTGAATTATATGAGAGACGGCTGAACGCTGTTGAGAAGCAACTATTTCAGTCTTTAAGATTGCCAGATCAGCTTCAAGGACAATTTGCCGTGGATATGGAGGAACAGAAGGATGCCGGGCTCTTAAAAGAGGACTGTGGGTTTGTGGAGATCTCTTGTAAACAGAAGCACAAGCTGAGCGAAAGGCTAAACACCTTTATGTGCCAGCTGGAGGAACTGGCTGCTGACATTGAAAAGACCTGCGAGGTTAGCAGACGTCGAGAATCAAGGCACGAGTAAGTTTGGCTTTATCTGTCCTACTTAACGCAATTGAGTATTCGGTCTTCTTCAGACAGATAGGCATTTTTTCTTTGCCTATTTCTCGGGGTTAGAGTTTGGGAGTCTGGGTGGATAGGAAATAGGAGAATAGGAACCTCCCTCCACGAGGCAGGTGGCCGTGCGCTAAATTCCAGGAAAGTTACTTATTCCTCTGTCCTATCCTTAATCTAACCCCTGATTTCCCTATAATTTAGCGTAAGGATACTCGCATTACGGGAATTGCCTGCTCCCGTGTCCCACTGTTTTGACTCTGGTAGTTTAGGTTTTGTGCGTATTAGCATCATCAGGTCGCCACATCGGTCCACACTCTGTCCTTCAGGTTTTGCGGACGACAGCACGCATCATTAGTTCTGACAGGACATATATCGGTCTTAATTATACTCAGTATCTGCAGGCTCCCGTCGTTTCCTTCTAAAAAGGGATTGAATTGCTCCATTTTCATCGGTGTGGTTTTGGTGTCTTGGTGGACTCGATGACTCCAGCCTCTGGCAGTATGGCTTCACTGCGATTGAGGACTTTTTATTTTGAGCTACCAAGTGACCGTTCGCTGTGTGTATTGCGGAGGGAAAAATCGAGCATTTTGGGATTTTTAAGAACTGTTTACGAGAGTCACCTTAGAACTCTGGTTAATGTTAAGTTCTTACAGGTCATCCGCGGATTTACTGAGACCGCATACCTAGTAATTCAGGGGTCTGAGATGCGGATTCTGTACAATAACATTTACTTCATGACCCCAGAATGAATACATTGACTTAACATTGAACATTTTGTCACATCTACTTGGCGCCCTATGTTACCTGCGGATAACAATGTCTAACGCATCATTACCTGGATGTGGGTTACCAAAATCCATTGAGGCATTAAGACACTACCGTGTCCTACACGTCTATGGTTTGAAAAGCGAAGACAACCACTTATCTTTGACTTCTTTACACAGCTTAATCCATAAGTACAGGCACAGACTTCTGCGACGGCTCGACCGAAGTATCCATAAGCACCACCTTCACTGCTGAGCTTTGTCAGCCTTATGAATTAAATGACGAAATTTCTTATCTCTCTTGTTTGACTGCACTGCCCTTGAGACCTACTTTCTGTTAACACCTAACATTTCTCTCCAGTTCAGACCAATCTTTTGCTCATGCAGGTCGACCCAGACGCCAAATGTGGTACAAACCACGATTCGGAGCACACAAACAGACAACTGGTCTAAACCCACAACCAGTGTTAGGGAAGCAGCTTCAACGACCAACTCTACAGGTCTCATGATGTTCTGCACATATGCTCCTTTGGACAGCAGTACTGAGACCATTACAGACCCAGTGGATTGGGCGTCAAGAAATGAGTTTTACGCCAAGTCAAGCCAGCCGGAAACTGCCAACCAGAAATCGCAGACTGTGAAACAGGTGTGACACCCGTGTTTCCTTTGTACGGAGAAAGGCGTTTGCGCTCTCGTAACTATGCAAATTAACCCACCCCATTTACTCCTTATGGGATCCTTGTGGATTTTAGGTTGCGTGGATTATGGACAGGCTAATTTGAGCTTAGAGGCTCAAGACATTTTCGTCAACAGAGCCACATGTGTTACCACCGTACCCTTTCTTTGGTATGATCTAATGCACTGACTGAAAATTGTTATTATTGAAAAAAAGGATATGACGAGGAGTAAATTAGTCGAGGTATAATGGATGTAAAATCCCCCGGGCCCCTCTAGGGACAGGCGGAATTCGCATAATTGTAGGCACCGATAATTGGGGACTGCCTTGGAGAAATTATAGCACTTATTTGAGGCTAAAGCAATCATTCAATTTAAATAAAAACCTCTTAAGACAGTTTGTTATCGTTTATCTGCTAAAGATCAATGACGCGAAAGAAATGAAAAGTTTTCTCGTCGTAAGGAAGAGGAGATTTGCGTTCTGATAAAAACAAACTATTTGGGCTACCATATAGTAGCCCAAACGCTCCGTGAGTCCTGTTTCGTTCCATCCTTAAGTGAGAACAAATATAAGAGGGACATCGCAAACGTTGGAACCGCATAGTTTCTCGGGAACACAGCGCGCGACATGCACTGATTTTTTAGCAATTTTTTTATTGCAAGTCTCGCAAACTGGAAAGAGTCTTATTTTAAAAGAGAACGCATGATAAGTCACTCGGATGAGCTATTACTGTCAAAAAGCTGTATACGCTCAGCTTGGGAATGGGGTATCAGAGGCTGATAAAGTGAAGTAAGTAGCAAATAGCTATTCCCGTGTGCCTTTTTATTGACAACACTTCCCTTGGCTCTTTAAGGACAATTTTCTACTTGTGTTGGAGTTCTACAATAATGAAAGATATTTTAACCCAGACTGATTCAATGATGTCGCGACAACCAATTCTATCAGCAAAGGAAACGAAACGTTGCTTTAGTTGCGAGCCAGCAGCAAGGGGATGTCGATTATTAGTACAACGGACCGTTTGTCCTCCATAACTCAGTCCGCATAACAGTCGGTGCATAATCGATTATCAGCAGCTTGATCCACTCCTGGGATATCCGCTCTGGGGATGTTTCAACTCCATATTTTGCACGGCCTATCATAGAACGTGGTTTATTTCTTTCATTTACGATGTAGTTAGATGTAGGCAAGATAACAAAACAAATGAATTCAAGGAAACAAATTAATCACCGAAATGGAGCAACTGGTGAGACAGCATTTTCTATCTCAGGCCTAAAGCCATTGCTTTGTCCTTGAAAGTCAGTTCTACTCCCTTCTGTTCTAGCTCACTTCCGATGCGGCGGTGCAAACTGCAGGGCAAATTAACTATTCGCTTTCGCAGTCACCATCGCGGCTCTCTGGTCCTGACAACTCAGCCGTCCAGACCAATCGTATTTCAAAGGCCTCAGGTGAGCCACGCCTTGTAATCAAATTCATACTAAAGTAGTTATTGGGCTTTCGTTCTTCGCTTTCACTCTGTCTTTGCTCTTGTCCCAGTTGAGCCAACCGCAGTTTTCACTAGTCTGTGAAATTATTAACAGCTTAACACCAGCCGCGGACCACTTGGCTTTTTCCGTATGCCGCATTGAAACAAATTGCGGGACGGGCAGGATCTATTACTCGCAAGCGTGTCATATTCTTAAAACATAACTCCTTGCTAAACATCACGAGTTTCAGGGAGTAAATCGTCCAGTTATAAACAACAACTAAAGTTCTGTTGATGACTTTCCGCCAGAATGTTAGAGGACTCGGTTTCCTGTCGGAGTTGAATGGCGGGCTGATATTTAAAGCCACGGCTTCCCCAAGTTGAGTAGACCCGATAATGATCCAGTAGTCACATAGTAACTACCATAGAAAAGTTAGTGAATTAATAGTTATCGTACTGGTGTTGGCCTCAAAAGGTGTTCAGGACATTTTTCATAGTAAAACATTCCTGCAGTCAGTTTGATTATCGAGAACGACAAAGTCCATCGTATGCACCACAACAATGTGGGCGCTGAATGGCGACTTGCACAGGACTAACTTTGCGGCGATGGCGGACCTGCGCTGCATTTATCGCACTCTGTCCTCCCTCTCCCGCCTGTGGCCGGGTGACAAGACTAAGTCAGGACGATCAGAGGCGGACTCGGATGCAGCAGCTCTTAAGGCTAAAAAATACCCGCCTGTGCGCGCCAAACACACTCCGTCTGCCCGTGTCTCCTAACCTGGCCACGTTGTAAATGCGCTGGACCAACACGGGGGGGGGGGTCATATCGGATTCTGACAGGCGTTATCGGATTACACACCATAACAAATGCCAACATTCCGGGGTGCGGTGGCAGACCCGGTTGCCTGCAGACGTCGCGCGTATTGGGACCCCTGCCGCACCCATATGGTTGCTATTGATCAAAAACCTGGTCATTTGTTGTCTGGACCAGGGGGTGCGGGGTGGAACGCCAAGGCGTGGACTCGACCGGGCCATCCACCCGCATCCTCCCCGCCTCCGGTCTTCTTGACTCTCCGTTTTAAGAGGACCCGGTTACCTCGCCAGTCGGCAGTCTTCTACAGCACCATGTCTAACGCATCAGGATAGCTTTGAAGCGCGTCAAATTGTTTATCGTGAGAAATGCGCTGAGGTCCCATGGGGACGATAATCCCATAGTCGACCTTCCTCTCTCTTTCATCCCCCAGTCACCAGTCCATTGTTCT